GCAGGTGGAGGAGGCGTCACGTGCGGTCAGATCTTGCGCAGGATCGGCGCTCTGGGGCCGTGGGGGCTTTTGCGTCGCTGGCCCGCACCCCACAGCTCGGAGGGGCGCGGCATCTCCCCCTGGTGGCCAGACGGCGGCCGCGCCTGCCTGGTGCGCGCTGTGCGTTCTCCAAAGTCCTCGGGCTGTGTTTGCCTCGTCGCCGGGTTGGACTTGGGGATGACCAGGAGGAGCTCCACCCCGACTCCGCCGTGCGCGGCGTGTGAGGGCTCCACCTTTCTACATCTCATAAACCCGGGACCTAAACCTCATAAACCTGGTCCCCGTGCACCAGCGTCCCCCACGCGGGCGCCCAGGCCAGCGCGTTTTTAGCCACAGCGCCCGCTTGCTATGTTTGGTCCCCAAGGGAACGAGAACGCAGGTGGGGGCGGCAGGCGGCACCTAGCTGGGGTGACATCCCGGACGACGTCCACGGTGCCCGCACGCGCCCCCGCCGCGACCGACTCGCAGCTCCGCCCCGGCCCGCGCCCTGATTTCTCCACGGTCCTCGCCGGGCTCTGACCCGGGGCCCCGCCTCGAAGGTGTTGGCAGGGTCGCAGCTGGGAATCCGGGGCCGGCAGCCTGGGCAAAGCCGGCCTCGAGCGCCCCCTAGCGGCGACGGAGCCTGGGACCGGAGGGCTTCTGCGTCCCGGACGTCTGGAGGAGACTCGGTCCCACGCGCTTCCGGGCTCGCTCGGATGGCGGCGCTGAGGCCTGTTCGCCTCCAGTAAAAACGATGCCCCGAAGGAGAAATACAGAGCTTTTAAACCAGAGTGGGTGAGAGAGGAGTGCATGTGGTGCGTGCGCGTGTACGCGTGTATACGCGCGCGTGTGTGCGTATGTGCGTGTGTGCGTGTGTGCGTGTGTGCGTGTGTGTGTGTGTGTGTGTGTGTGTGTGTGTGTGTGTGTGTGTGTGTGTGTTGGGGCGTTGGCAAAAGCAATAAAACTCAGATCGCTTCCTCAGTGAGATAGCGGCGGCTATAATGCGCCGAGGGGATCAGGGGTTTATTTGCAGATCCTGGATAAAGGATGATATATCGACACGGTTTAGAGTGTCACTATGCCTGGCCTCTCAGGAGCCACAAGTACATATTTCCTGAAATACCACCCAGCACAATATCTAATCCACTGGCCACTTAAGCTGGGAGGCGAGCTCAGCCTCTTGCTGGAGTCCTGGGTGCTGAATTCTCTCCCGCCGCCCGTGCAGGGCTGGGCCAGACGCCCTTGCCTGGCCTTTTGTCTTTGGTCCAAGAAATCACTTAGCCATGGCCCTAATAAATACGTCTGAGAACTGTCCTTATTCTCGGTAAATATTGGATTAGCTTTTCAATGACCAGGCTCTTGAAAAGGCTCGAGAAATCCACACCAGGTCTCCGCTAAGCCCAACAGTCAATAGGTAAAGAAAATAAGTCATTTCCCGGCTTGAGTGGGGAGCGTGGAGAAGGTGGCTCCCCAGTCTCACTGGGTCACTTGATTCCACTAATTATGATAGCAGTGCTCCATGAGAAGAGGCAGGGAAGCCCCAAGCTGGATTTGCTGGAATTTCCACCCACTCAGTGGTGTGAATTTTGTCTGACTGTTCCAGGGAAAATATCTCATTTTGTTTTTATCCCCCCAGCTCCCCTGTAGCTCCTGTGGGGCCACGTGCTATTTATTTGGGGGCTTCTTATGGGAATTTTGACCTGGTTGTCACCAGGGACAAAGCAAGGCCCAAGTCAGCTTGACTTCCACCAAGTAGGGGGTCAGGGGGCCAAAGTGGGAAAGGCCTTGGGACCCCTGTTACTGAATTTTGCCAACTAAACAGACAGCGGGTATTAGGACTTTTTTCCTCCCCCAATGTGAAGGAAGTTTCCGGACTGTTTTCCTAAGATGCCAGTAGGATTCCCACACCATGCACAGCAAGAATGGCCACTGGCTCCTGGAGTGGGGATGGGGCCCTGCTGTGGCTGCAGTCAGGCTGGCTGTACACCGAGCCAGGCCCTGTGACTCTCCAACTGTCTCAGGGTGCGAGGGGAAAAGGATGCTCAGTCTGGGGGGGCTTGGGAGCATCCTCTGAGGAAACTGGATCTTCATCCACTCTGGACACCTTGGGCACCTTAGTGACCTTCAGAGCTGAGATGGCTTTGAAGAGGGTGGTGGAGTGAGAGGCTACAGCCATGTGTTCCCACATGGATCCCAGGGAGCTGCAGAGTGGTGCCCTGAGCCCCAGACCCAGAACACTGGCGCCAGTCCTGGGTAGGGTAGGGAAAGAGGAGAAAGGAGAAGAGAGAAGAGAGGAGAGGAGAGGAGAGGAGAGGAGAGGAGAGGAGAGGAGAGGAGAGGAGAGGAGAGGGAGAGATCTCCAGCTTTTAGAGTGTCACGGGGCCTTGGTGGTGCAAGCGCCCTCTGAAGCCATCAAAGACAGGGGTGGCTTTTTTCCCCTCCTCCAACCTCCTCCCCAATAGATATAGCACGAATTTTTAATGCGTCTTCCTTTCACAGACAACAATACAGGGTTTGAAAGCTGGACACAATTTGGGTTTTGTGCGGGTCCCTCCTCGCGCTCCCTCGGCCCAGCTGGCCATATGGAATCCAGCATGGAGTCCGTGGATGACAAAGGGACCCAGTGACAGGCCCAACAAAACCCCAAGGAGACTTCTGCCTGACTCCGGGATTCACTGCCCGAGATAAGCGCGCTGAATGGTGCGGGGTGGGGTGAGCAAGCCCCTCTCCTGCTTCCCTTCTCGGTCCCGACAACCTTTCTCTGTCCCTTTTTAATATGCACGCCTCTAACATCTCCGGCTCCCAGCTCGCCCATTGTGCCGTTTTGTGCAGCCCGCTGTAGATTGGGCGAAGATAGACTGCCAAAGCGGACCCGGCGCCGGGAATGCTCCCAGGGCGCTGGGGTTAGGGCCACACAGGGCTCCGCAGGCTTTTATTGACTCCCTGGCCCCCAAGTGCAGAGAGAGGCGGGCTCTGGGCCCACCCTCCAGCCTGGGGCCTGGCCGGCACACACCCCGGCTGCAGGCCTGTGGGTTTGGCCTAGCTCCAAGTGCCCTCCACCCACCCATGTTCAAGGAAAACTAGAAGTTTGGGTGTTCTTTGCCTCTCCCTTCCCTTGAGGGCCTGGAGGACTCCTGGGATTAGTCTTAGCTCCAGGGAAGGCTGGGGGCCCCAAACTATCCAAACCTACTGTTTTCCAATTGGTGCTCCACTGGACTCTGAACCCCAACTTTCTTCCCAGAGGACAGGGGTAATGCGGAACCTCAGAGGGGTGTTGGGTAGTTTCTACCAGCCCAGATTGGGCATCAGATTTCTATGCACTGGACAACTAGGGGGCAGGGATTCTCCGGCCTTTACAAACAGGAAAACCAAACCAAACCAAACATTTCCAAGCTAGTGCAGCGAACAAAGGGGGACAGGTTAACAGTTGGGAAAACTTTGCCATACTGGGGACAAACCTGGAGGTGGGAAGGCCCTTTGAGGGGTATTAGACAGCCTCCCCCACCCTTGACTACCTAGGGGCCAAGCGCAAGACGGGAATAAAGTGTAATCACCTCCCTGGCCGCGTTGCGCTGAGTGCTATTGACGCGCAGATTTGGTCACACGGATAATCATGTTTGCTTTAGATATTGAATTAAATCTGATCATCAACCAGAGGGAGTGGAAAGTCAGCTGGGACGCTCCCTTTGCCCGGCCTCCATGCCTCCCCCTCCCCAGGCTTGGTGGAAGCTCTCACTTTGGAGAAAACAAGATACTATTTCCAAAAGGGCTGACTTTTCCCTCTCAGGCATCCCAGAGAGGCCCTGGGCTCCCAGTTGAGGTTATTTTTGGAAAGCTGAGAAACAAGGCCAAAAGGTACATCCTTCTGCCAGCCTTTCCTGCCCCCTCAGACGCTCCCCCGCATAGTCAAGTGAGCACCAGCCTCAGCCCAAGAGCTGTACTCCAGCGACCGGGTGGGAAGGGATCAGTGCGGGGCAGGAAGGGAGAGAGGGAGTGAGGAAGGAAGGAGGAAGGAAAGAAGGGAGCAAGGAAGCAGCGAGCAAGGAACCACCTCCAGGGCCTACTGAGCAGGGCTCTGCCCACTTCTCGAGCCCCAGCCCAGCCCTGGAGGCCAGCACACCCCACCCTGTTTGCAACCTCTACTTCCCAAGGCATCCCCATCCTGACACCCGATGGCCAGCCTGGGGCACTGTGCTGCCCAGCGCCAGGAGTGGACCAGGCCTGGATCCAGCTTGGAGAGAAGTCTGGAAGTGAGAAAGACTTGGGACACCCCAGAGGGGGAGAGTTTGCTGGGGTCACCCGGGATGCACACTCCCCACCTCCTCCAGGATCAAAGACCACCGAGGAAGGCTCAGGCGTCCTGCCTTCCCCTACTGCCAGGACCCTGAGTGTCCCTCCCCAATGCCACCACCGAACCCACCCTCATCCCTACACCCAAATGGAGCAGCTCCCAGGCCTCCATACAGCTGCACATTTGGAAAAGGAGGTGGGGAGCAGAAAGAAAGCTGGACCGTCTCTGTCTCCACCGCACAGCCCAGGCCCCTTCTTAGCGTGAGGGAAATTAAACGCAACAAAGTGAAAGTCATCGAGTGTAGTGGCTTCAACAGCTTCTCAGGCTGAAGGAGCCACTCATAGATTTGGGCTAGCAAGGGGGGCTTGCTCTCCTGGCCTCAGCATTTCCCAGAAACACTTTTCCACCCGAGGCCCGGATGCTGCAGCCCCGGTGCAGACCGAGGCGGTGGAAAGGCCTAGAAAGGGAAGGCCTCTGGGGCTGGGGGGCTGCAGGCTGTGTGCTCCAGCTCTGGTCCGGCTGCAGGGTCCGACTGGTGGGGCCAGATGAGGCCTGCTGGGGTCCCCTCCTGCACCCGGGTGCCAGCCTTCCCCACCCCAAGAGGAAGTCCGCATGGCGGCATCCCGCTCTTGGCGCAGGCAGGCCTCGGGCCTGGAGCAGAGCTACAGTCAGACAAACCGGAGGGCTGGGCTTCTTGGTTGGCTTTTTTAAACACAGGATTTTTATTAAAATTATTTAAAAAATCGAAAGCTTTCGGTGCCCGGCGCTCTTGGGGAACCGCGCTGAATGGCTGAGCTCCAATTTCTGGCCTCAGGACCCAGAAAATGGGGCACGGGAAGGGGGGCTTCTCGCCTACACATTGTTTCTCCTTTTATATATTTGAAAAAAGTTTGCACCGAATAAAATGAAAAAGAAAAGAAGAAAACGGGGGTAACCCAAATATGACCAAACCAAAACAAATGGGCATAGCAGGGCGCTGGGCCAGAGGGGTCGGCCCCCTCAGGAAGGTCAGTCCACCAACATTCACCACCGATATTTACAACCCAAAGCCAAATCTGCCACCAGTAGTCGGAACGTATACATGGCCATAAATATTTAGCATTTTCTTATTAAAAAAGAAGAAATTTTCTATATATTTTTAAAGTGTTCTCCACTTGCTTTAGAAGACGGCTGACAATATCGCTACTCACACAAACATATTTTACAAAATTCACGAAAGCGGGCTGGGGGTCGGTCTTTTTCTCCTTTTCAAGAGAGGACGTTAACTCTGGGGTGGTTTGCTCCCCCCGGGGGAGGCAAGAAGCGAAGCTGCGCGAACACGGCTGTAAACACGGCTCTGGGTCCATCCCCTCCAAAGGTCGGAGGACGGTGAGAGGCAGGATGGAGTCGGCGGATGGAACCTCGCGGCGGCGCCTCTACCGCGGAGCCGAGGGGCGACCGATTCTCCCATAATAATAATATAATAATAATAATCACCCAGGACCAGTCCTCCTCGCCACTGCCGCCGGCGCGGGCTTGGCCTGGGACGCAGTCTCAAGGGCGGCGCTCACCAAGTCCACTGCTGGGCCTGGACCAGTGGGTGTGCAGTCGGGTACTGGGGTGTGCTGGCCGAGCTGTACTGGGCGTTGTACTGCATGTGCTGCAGCGACTGCGCGCTGTAGGCCGAAAAGGGGATGCCCGCCTGGAAGGTGGCGGCGGCCAGGTCCTGGGCTTTGAGCGCATGGCACGGTTTGCCGTCCCTGACCAAGACGGGCACGGCTACCCGGCGCGGTGAGGGCAGGGGCGTCACCTCCATACCTTTCTCGGCCCGCGCTCGCTTCATCTTGTAGCGGTGATTCTGGAACCAGATCTTGACCTGCGTAGGCGTGAGGCGGATGAGGCTGGCCAGGTGCTCGCGCTCGGGCGCCGACAGGTACCGCTGTTGCCGGAAGCGCCGCTCCAGCTCGTAGGTCTGCGCCTTGGAGAACAGCACGCGCCGCTTCCGCTTCTTGCCAGCGTCCCCTCCGCTGCCCGAGGTCTCCTTGTCATTGTCCGGGGATTCGTCTGCTGAGGGTTCTGGGGACTTGGTACTGGAGTCCTGCGGGGGCGCGCCGGCTGCCAGCCCGTGCACTGCAGAAGAGAGAAGCGCGTGAGCACCTGGAGGCAGCGCGCAGCCCGGGTCGCGCTGGCGCCACGGATCTTTCGTGCGCCCTGGCCTTGGGCGCAGCGGCCCAGCCGCACTGGATGCTCGGGAAAGCGCCCAGGTCTCCCAGGGTAAAGAGAATAACCCGCAGGAGTAGTGTCCTGGGGTTGCCGTTCTGGGGGTTCGCAAGATGTGGGTGAGGGTTTGGGCGGGGAGGGGCGCGTGGGAGATCCTCGCAGGTTAAGGGCTCCGGCCCCCTTAAGTTGTTTCCTCTCTGGAGAGACGTGGGCAGATTTTTAAAAGAAAAACTCCACAATCCCAGCATTGATCCGCTAGGCCATTTAAGGCAGGTTTTTGGGGGCTTTCGCTTTTGCTCCAGGGCTTTCCCGACACCCCCGCACCACACAAAGCGTCCTCTATGATCGCGCAGGGGGCAGGGTGAGCTACTTATACCCGGGCCACCCGAAGCCTCCCCCACCCTCTCCCGCGGCTGGACCAGGCTCGCTGGCCAGCGCCAGGTCCCAGGCCAGTCTCTCCCTGGCCAAAGCTCCAGGGCCTGGCTGAAACCATAGCACACGGGTGACATATGCGACCAGTCCTGGTTCCCTTCTCCTCTTGCTTCTTAATTACTCACGTTGGGTTGGGGGGGAATCTGAGACCGAGTCTTTCGCAGGGGCAGGGACTGGAAGCCGAGCACATCCCAGACAAGTGTTAGAAACCTTCCCAGGGACAGAGGACCTGCGCTCCGTGGGCTTCTCCCCCTGGGCGCCCGCGACTGAGCTGCGCTACTCACGGGAGTACTGTAGGCCTTCGGTGCTGGCCAGCCAGCGCGTGTACGGGTTGTCGCTGCTGTCGTAGAAGGAGCTCTTTAGGGGCAGGCTCTGCACCGCTTCCAGGGTGCCCTGCCCCAGCGGCCCGGCCCTCTTGGCAGGCTCCGGCCCCTCGTTCTCCTCCTCCGGCCCTTCGGCCACCGATCCCTCCTCGTCGTTAGTGTCCGGCAGGTCCAAGATGTCCTTGACCGAAAATCCCGTCTTCGTGTTGGTCAGCGACATGGTTCGGGGACCCCGCAATTTATGCCGCAAAGTTGTGGCTGCACTTGGTCAATTCGTGGCTTTCCCCGTCGCCCCGGCGGGCGGGGGAGGGGTGGGGGGGAGGGACGGGGGAGGGGAGGGGACGGCGTTAATTATTGAGATAATTATTATTTTAGAACCAGAGGGAGAGAGAGGGAGAGAAACAGTGGGGAAAGGGAGGGGAAGAAATGAAACCCAACCCCAGCCCGGTCCTCAGCGGAAGCACGCGGCGGTGGGCGCAAGAGCTGGAGCGCGCGCCCGGCCCGTTCGCAACTCCAGGAGCGGTGCCAAGGCGGCGTCAGCGCGGGCTCCGGCGGCCGCTCGGCGCGCGGTGGCGGCTGGTGGCGAGGAAAAAATGGGCCATTGCCCGAGCGATCAGTCCATATAAGGCTGGGCTCCACGCACGAACCTGGGGAGGAGGGGAGGGGGAGAACGCGGGAGGGAGGGTAAGGGGGCGAGGGGGGAGGGGAGCGGGAGAGGGAGCGAGGGAAGGGTGGAAAAAGGGGGAAGAGACGTTAAAAACGCGAAGGTTGGCCACGTGTGGGCGGGTCTTGGGAGTCAAGTGGATGAAGACAGTATTTGCAGATGTGAAATTGTGGGTTTTGGGGAGCTCCGCGCTCCCAGCGAACGGCCCTCTAGAGCGAGATGAGAGGTGTAACGTGTCAATTAATTGCAAAGACCGGCCGGGCCTTTTTTTTTTTTTTTTTACCCAGTATTTACATACAAAGGACCACCGCGTCGCTCGAGAGTCCAAGCACTTGAAAGGGCCGTTTTAACAAATTGCGTGTTAAGGGGGTGGTGGTAGGGTAGAAAACAAAACAGAGCCTGGAGGAGGAAAAACTCTTTACCATTCACCGGTTTCCAACCCCCCAGCCACAAACTGGCGATTTGTGGCGCCTTTGGAGGGTGGGGGGTGCTGAGCCGCGGAAATCTTTGCTTCGCATCGCTGTTGGTTCTCCAAACAAGATCCAGTTCAAATGGCAAGAACCCAACTTTTGTAAGCCTCCTAGGTCAATATTTTGGTTGAGGCTTAAGGATGAGTACTAGAAACGACGAGGCAAGTAATTGATTCCAGTTAACCGCGACAGAGCTGGAGACCCTAGCGGAGCGCCTGGTGCAAGCCGGCCAGCGGCGCCGCCGCGAGCCCTCCAGCCCCTCCGGCCTAGCTTTATTTGCTGAGGACTCATTTATTTCCTTCACCCGCTGCCCCATATCCCCGCTTTCCCCGCGGCTGGGAGGGACGCGCAGTTCACTTTCTGCGCCTAGAGCTCCAACTCGCAGGCAATCGGACTCCAGCTCGGCCTCGGGCTGGCCGCCTTTTCCTTGAGAGCCGAGTTGAAGGGCAGGCGCCCCGCTCCCCCCCGGCCTCTATTATCCCTGCCCCACCGGCCCCCTCCCCTCCGGCTGCCGCGAAAGGTGGGGCGGTGGGAAGCGGAGGGCGGGATTGAGGCGGGGGTGGGGCGAAGTGGGTTTGGGCCCCACCCGGGCAAGGATTCCACGAAGCCACGGGGAACGGGTCAGAGGATGGGCCCGGGGTGCAGTGCTTTCTCCCGAGTTATCCTCCTGGTTGCAAGTCTCTCCATTTCCTCTCCTTTCGGCACCCCCGGGGGCGTGTCTCCAGGAGGCGCCCCAGGCTCGCAGTTCTAGGTTAGGTTGGAAGGAACTTTGCAGCCTTGCCCCAGTCCAGAGCTGGACTTTCCTGGCACAGCCCTGCTCTGCGCGGGGAGGAAAAGGCGATTCTCCGCTCTCTGTCCAGTTTAACATTGGGCAGAGAGGGCTGCTCCCTATTGGGTGCTCACCCCAAAGCAGCGCCAGGAAGGAGCTCGGCCTGGGGCTTAGCAGGGCAGAGAAGGCCGCCTGCGGGGGTCTCGGGCTCTGTTTCCTCCAAACCCTAGCTCGGGCCGCTTGGCGCAGGCAGAGTACAGCACAAGGCCCGAGTTCTCCTTGCGCGCAGCTGCGGGGGCCGCCGTGGCACCCCCTCCACCCCGGGTTGCCAGCGTCCGGTGAGGGCGCCTCTCTCCGAGCCGCTCGGCGGCTTTCTGCAGCCCTAGCGGCCTCGCCTTCAGTATGTGACGTGGGTGACAATGGCCCAGGGTGGAGCGAGCCCCTCGTCGGCGCGTCCTGGGTGGTCGGACCCGGGCAAACACAAATACAAACCGATTGCTAAGCTGCGGACAATGAGCGAAATGTAGACAAATGTCCCGCTCCCGTTGGAAGCCTTTGTCCCGGCTCGGTTTTTGCATTTATTTCAGTGGCGAAATAATACATGATTGACGCTCTCTTTCAATGTGTCCTAACTGTTTGGAATAAATCTAAGGTTGTTGCTAGTTGTCATGGCATTCAACCCTTTTCAATGGACTATCTCTTCATTCATTTCGGAACCGGCCACAATATTAAGGAAACCCCTTCATGTCGTCGCTCCCCGATTCCTCTTTCTCCTCCTACTTTTTCTTTTCTCCTTGCTCCCCTCCCCCTTTTCCCCTGCAAGAATTAGAAACTGGTTTGAATCGTGTTCCTCAAACACATTATTTTTTGTGCCTTTTTTTTTTTGCTCTCCCCAGACTGTCTTTCTCAGCCTCCCCTCTTGCCTGTCCCTCCCCCCCTTCCTCCCCCTAACGTGGGAGTTCCTGGGCCTGTCCAGTTGCAGGAGGGAAGTCAGTTTTCCAGGAATCCAGGAAGCCTGAGTTTGGATACAGGGATGAGCCTGCCCTAGCTATGGTCACTCAGCTGCTAAATAAGTAACTGGTGAGAGAAGGATCCCCAACCCAAGCACTGCAGGAAGATTTTGTGTTTCTCCTCTTAGTCCTCCGTGCTGGGGGTGGGGGCTCCTTTGGGGACTCCAGTAGCCATCCGTGCTGGAGTCTGAGGCCAGAGCAGAGCCCAGTTAGACCAAATGAATTCTTGAATTCTCAGTTTGGGTAGAGAAGGAGGAACCTCATTTTGCACATCCCCAGAGCCATCCTTGGACCCTTGGGGTGGGGGTGGGGTTGCCCCCAGGCACCTTCCAAGAGCAAGCGGGCTCCAGTGTGGAATGATCTGCTTCCCAGCAGTTCTCACATATTTTTCACTTTCCCAGGCAGAGCAGGCCTACTTTCCCCAAGATGATACCCTCTTCTAGCCCTATGGACTGAGTGAGGCACTCAGAGCACTCTGAATTACCCATTTTCCATTTGGAATCTAGGCCCCCGGGAATTGGACAGGGGCAGGGAGCCTGGCCTGAGGGCTCTGAGTCCAAGATCCCCAGCCCAGTAGGGAAAGGCCAGATTTGTGCTCCTGACCTTTGGCCTCCACCAGCCCCAATACGGTGCATCTGGGCCCCGCTGTGGCCTTGCCTTAGCTCCGAGGAGGCCAGGCAGCCTAGGAGAGAGCTGGAGAGGCCAGGCCTTTCCTCAGCCACCTTGTGGGTCCAGCCGGGTTTCCCTCTGGGGACTCAGCACGTCCGTGTCCCCATTCCTCTGTTGCCCTTGTGGTTTCCACGTCCGTTTCCAAAGCGTTATCATTTGCAATTGAAAAGGGGCAGGGAGACCGCTGGGAGGCTGGTAATTGAGGGGGAGAAACTGGGCTTGTTAGAGGAAGATCATAAAATGCAAGTCCCCCAGGAGGGGCCTGTGGACTGCCGTGCGGGCCCAGCTGGCAGCCGGGGCAAGTCCCGTGCCTCGAGCTTGCTCTCCAGTCCCCTCGATTTCGTGGGCTGGGATTGTGGCCGCCAAACTTGAGGGGCCAGGCGCCAAATGCACCTCTTCTTACCACATGAAACAGGTGATTTCTGGCCGAGGCCTCCGCAAGAAGCTGCCCCTGCCTCAGTAAGGACTTTTGCTATTCTGATCTCTTTTTCCGAAGGATCCGGCAGTCGGAGGGGGCCCAGCCTCGCGCCCCTTTTCCCTCCCGACAGAGTCCTTTATTATTGTCCCCACCGCCCCCACCTCGCGGGTTGGAAACCTATCAGCATCTCGCGCACCGTTTCCGCTGAAAGTGCATGTGCGCGGTTCTCCCTACTTGAGTTCTTTATGATCGCTGCCAGGTTCAAGCTAGACTCAAAGATAGGGCCCAGTTTAGGCTCCGTGGCCGCGGTCTGGGGAGCTCGTGCGCGCTCAGCACTGGATCTGAGGCTGAGAACCTGAGATGTCTAGGTGCGTGTTGGAGTCCTAAACCCAGCTGCCCTGCACGGAGCGAGACGAGTTCGGGTTCCTTTGGGGGTCGGGAACAACTCGCACCAAGACAGCCGCGAGAGTCCTGCCCGGAGGGCGCCAGGTTTGCATGCTCCGCGCTGGGGTTCCAAGTTCGGCGAGAATCTCTAACCGTGTGCATTTTCTCGGCCGAGGACAGGCATAACTACACTCATCTGGGGCCGCGGGGAGGAAGAAGACCTGTCCCCGGAGCCCAGAGCACAGCTTCCTTCAGGGCATCCAGAGCTCGGTTCAGGGCCGGAGCGCAGCCTTCGCAGGAGTGCGGAGCGCACGGCGAAGGAGCTAAACAATTGCAGAGGCCCAGGAGGCGAGGTGAATGTACACAGCCTAAGTGGCCCCACTCCAGGACAAGTGGCCCTCTAAGTCTGCCCAGTGTTTACCTTCCCAGGTAGCTCAAACATGAGCGCCTTTTCTGCGCCCCGTAGCCTGGGGTGGGGGCGCATCATGCGCCTAGCGTTCCAGCTCCGCTCCCCGTACCGCCTCGCGATGCGCCCCCTATTGGGGGGTAAGGACTACACTCAAGCACACAGAGCAAGAGAGATACTCGAGGGGTGTGGGGAGAGGCCTGAGCACCCAGACAGCAGCCTCCTCCCGTCTGGGGACAGCAGCCCTGTACCATCTCTGCACCGGGCGCTGAAGGCCTCCAGGATCCCTGAGCAAAGTGCTCGCCCCCCCTCCAAAGCTTGTTGAGGAGGCTTAGTTTCCAGGGGAGTTAAGGAAAAAGTCCTGGGCTGGGGTGGAGGGAGTTGGGGCAGACTTGAGGAGTCCAAAGCTTTGCAACCCTGGTTGACATTACATTTCCTTCTGCACCCACACTCAGATCTTCAAAAGGACAAGCACCTTTCCTTTCTTTGCAAGTACCAATTTGATTTCATTTTTGTTCTTCTTTGGTTTCTCCCTTGTGGGATGAAAGGGGCTTGCAGCAAACTCCCTTCCCGGTACAGTCCAAGGCTGAGTGCTCAGGCCTCTGCACCTTGTATCTCAGACGACCTGCCTCGCCTGCTCAGTACCAAGGTGCCTGCTCCTCCGTTCACTCCTGAAACAAAGCCCAGGGCACCGTCCTGCTTCCTGCTTCACTGGGGATTAACACGAGGACAGAAAGGTTTTGTTGAAGGGGAAAGGCTTATTTTATGTCACATTGGAGACTTCTCCAGGAGTGGCAGGCACTTAAAATCAGTGAAGGTGGAAAATGTCACCCATCTAGGTCCCTGAATAAGGCGATAAAGACATTGTCTTACAGACTGGGCCCCTGTGCTGTGAGGGCTTAGGGCTGCAGGAAGCAGGGCCCTGAGCTCTGGTATTTAGAGTGAAAGTAATCAAGGTGTGTGGCCTAGCAGTACCACCCCACACAGAGACCTCTCTTGATCTGGAAAAGTTGAGAAGCCTGGAAGTCTTTGCTGTCTGAGTAGTGACTGTGTGAGGAGTTACACCTCAGGGGAGGTCACATCTGGCCAGGCAGGCCTCTGGAGGGGCCCCAAGCCTTGGGACCAGAGAGTGAGGGCTAGCCCAGGCAAACAGCATCTCAGCCCACCTTGGCTTCAAGTCCCACTTTAACCCACATTGTGGTATAAAGTCTTCAGTACCAGGAGAGGAAGAGCAAAGGCCATCTGCAGACAGGCCCCCTACCCATGGTCACCAGGTAGGTGCTGGGTAAATTTGGAGTTCAAGCCCAGAGATGGTTCCACCCTGTCTCAAGGAAGTCTCCTAGCCAGGGTGCGTACCCTACCAGAAAGGCACAATGCTTCCAAACCATGAAGATAGGTTCAGAGCTGGGGAACTCAAGCCAGGAGCAATTAGTTGCGGGTGCAGGAGGACTACATCTATGGGAGGTAACTCTATTCTTTTGCAAGGTGAAACACACTTTCCCGACTATTTGCCCCCTCCCTCTCCAGAAGGAAAGTATCTCCTGAGTATATAAATTGTAATAGAAATTAGGATTTCTCTTTCTATTAATCAGCCTCATTGTGTGCATATAAGACCCCGCGGGCATATGTTAGGACTTTGATAAATGCACTTTAATGAGATCTTTGAAAATGCATCCAATAAAATAAGAGGCCAGCAAAGCCGTTTAACTTTCATGGATGTTAAATTGAACACATAATGTGGCTTGGGGCGTGTTACAAAATGGAACCGGCCTCCTTCCAATATTTTCTTTAAAAATGTGCCTTTAAGCCCCCCTCGGGCCAAAGCAGCCTGCTCCAGCCGATCTTTTATCACTGGTTTATTGGGGAACCAAACACCACATCCCCCCGGGCAAACCCCTGTGCTTTATTCGTTCTCGCTGCACTGATGATTAAATATGTTACAAGGAGATTAGGCATCGTCAGCGTTGCCTTCAGGAACGATCTCCCGGTCTAGCCCGACCTTCCCCTGTTAAAGGAGATTTCAGTGCGGGAGATTTGGGTTTCTCTAGGAACGAGGGTACTGAAAGCACTTTGTTATCTGAATTTACTTCTCACCACGTGACGAAATCATTACAAGACTTCAGGAAAACAAGCGACGTCTCCTAGCTGGTTAACAGTCGGGGAACTCAACGCCGGGTGAGGCGGGTTGATGCCAGCGCAACAGCCCTGGGTGTGCAGAAGAGGCCGCTCAGCCTGCGCTCAGGGCCTGGCAGGAAGGACCAGGACACTGCGCGAGTCCGTGGGTATCTGTTATCTTTTCATTGGAGCACTAAAAGTCGCACCTGTGCCCTAGATGCAACGCTCCCTTCCCACCCCCAAGTGCCACCAAAGCGGAGACACGCGTGGGGCGCACCGATGGGCCTCCGTGGTCGCCCGAGTTGGGGGAGCAGGCGCCCCTCTCAGATTAGGCAGACCCCCCCGAGGCGCATTTCTGATCCTCTGGCGATCTCTACTGTCGCGAACGAGAACTGTCCAGCGCCAGGTGCGGCCCAGGCGACCCCCTCCCACTTCAGTATTGGGTCGCCTCCCCAGCAATCGCAGGCATCTTCCGCAGCCTCCAGCCGGGGCGGGTGCTTCTGGCCGCTACTCCTGTTACTCGCCCTCCGCTCCCCACCGCCCCCATTCCGCCGCCAGAAGAGAACCCTCTTCTCCAAGAGGAGTCAGCTCCAAATTATCTTGGGACTTCCGCCTCGGCAGCAGCTCCCTCTACTCTGCACCCCCGCGCGCACGCACATGGACTCACCGGCGAGGTGGGGGTGGCGCGGACAGCCAGGAGCGTCAGGCACCGGCGCCGGGTCGGGGAGGAGGCTGGCGAGGGCTCAGTGCCCGCTCCGCCTCCCGCTCCCGCTCCCTCTCCCCGGCCTCAGCGACAACCCCGCCGCGTTTCCGGGCGCGTCTTTATCTAGTCCTCCACCTACCAGGACCGCCCCCCCATTCCGCTACGCCCTTCCCCCACCGCACGCCCTCCAGACCAGGGCTACAGGGGGTGCGCTCCGGCGGGCGGGGTCCTGGGCCCCGCGCCTCTCCCTCTCTGCCCCCCTTCCCCGCACCGGCCTGGCCCCCGCTGCCTGGAGTACCCAACCCGCTGCAGGGTGCCCAACGCGAGCACCCGTCTCGGCGCAGGTAAAAGTTTTCCCGACTGCAGGTGTAACACAGGGGGAGCAGGGAGGGAGTTCTGTCCCTCCCCGGGGTTCCCTCCCCCACTGACCCTCGAAGTCTAGGGAGAAGTGGACACGCCCCGTGTTGCCCACCTGCTGCTTCCCAACTCCGCAGCGCGGCGAAGGACCCAGGTCGGGAGCACGGCAGGGAGGGGCGCGACGTGCTAGATTTGAGAGCCCCTCTCGGCCCACGGGGACTCGGGGCCTGGAGACTCCTCTCAGGAGCGGTCCGCGGGGCCCGAGCCCCGAATGCGTCCCTGTCTCCGGCGACGCGGAGACTGATGAGCAGACGCTTGGTGCTTGGCCGCGAGAGGCCGACGCCGGCTTCCCCTTCGCGGCCGCACTGTGCCCCTAGCTGCCGGCGCCCGACGCGCGCGCCCTCCGAGCGCGCGAGCTGCAGCTCACCTGGGCGCAGCCTCTTGGGCGCGGGGTCCCTGTCGCGGGCTCCCTCTCTGGGTTCTGGGACCCCGCTGCGGCTTCTATGGCTCAGCGTCCAGCTCCCTGCTCCCGCTCCTGCTCCGGGTGCTCCGCTCCGGCTTCGACTCCCAGCTCCGGGCCCCGCGGCCGCCGCGCAGCCCCAGCGGAGGGGGCCGCTCCCCCGCGCCGCGCGCGCTCTGTTTGTTTTCCTTACCCGACTGACGTGAGTCAAAATATTGGCCATATGTTCAGCGGTAATAAATTGGGTACGAGCGCAAACACACTTGGGCTTCGATGGCTGTTTCAGCTGCCACATGGCCGGCGGGGGGGGGCGGGGGCTTCCACTGTGCAGGGGTCCCTTCCTCCTAGGGGCGCGTGGGCTGCCTCTCAGCGCCCTTAGGACCTGGCGACGGGGACTTGGGTCTCTCTGCCCCTGTCTCTCCGCCATCCTCATCAGTGCCTGGGACCCTGTAGCTCCTGGCAAGCCCAGGCTGCTGGTTAACAAGGTCGCCATCTAGAAATTGCTCGGTCGCTAAGACGCCATAAAACCAAAGGGCCAGATGTGGCACGTTATTTATGTGTGAAACCGCGTTTACACTAGATACGAGATCCCAGGAAGAGAGCACGCGTTAGGGGAGGTCACAGACCTCTGGCCTGGGCTGCAGATTCCTCCCTGTGTGCACCCCCTCCAGTCCAGATTGAGGGGCGTTGGTTTTGGAAAGGGACCTGGCTCCCTGCAGCCCAGGAAGGAAGCGATTTCAGGGTTCTCGTGCCAAAGGGCCACCTGTCCAGGATTAGAGGCAGCCACTAGGGTAGAGGCAGCCACTAGGGTTTTCTGTACTGACCCCACCCTCTGCCATCGGGGTGGGAGGTGAAGAGGGGTGCTAGGAAAGGGGTTCATTTTCCAGGCTCCCATGAGACTTAGGTCTGACACAGGAAAGAGGAGACTGGGAAGCTGGACTCCAAGGGTAGGTGTGACTTGAGGGTGAGGGGTTCAGATCCCTGGTGGGAGGCAGACAGGAAGTGGAACCTTCACCTGACTGAGGCCTTTGGCCTTGCCTGTTCCCTCTAAGTTAACAGCATCACATGCTGAGAGCCAGGCTGGATGGCAGTGGACAGGAAGCCCCGCCAGCCCTGGGTACTTAGAGGGAGGCGAGTGAATTTTATGTCATAATAGAAAACAATTGTTTTGTTTTTCTCCTTCCTGAGATGGTCTTGGGGCTTCGCATGCCCAAGCTGATCACCCACACTCTCCTCGCATGAATTCATTAAGAGTCATCAGCTCCCCTTGCCATTATTTCTCTCTTGCTTGAAGTGAACCCAATTCTCTCTGTGGTTAATAAGCACTGAGCCAGGCCCCCTACCTTCCTTTTCATCTTCAAAACGCCTGGAGTTCCCTGAATGGCATCTTCCATCAGGCCAGGGGAAATAGGAGATGGAAAATGTTACCCTACTGCAGGGAAAAACATAAGCATTTGACTTTACTATTACCAGTTACCCCAGGTCTGTGTTCACTGGATAACGGTCCTTAGGTGGCTTTATTAAGGTGGAAAGTGATGCTTTTGAGATGGGCTGGGAGGGGGAGGATGTCTGTGGGCTGGGCTGGGGGTGGAACCTACCCAACAGTTGTGAAAGAGACCTGTAAGCCTTGGTAAGATAGCTCAGAAAAATCCAGGGCCACCCCTCGGCCTGCAGGGGTCATTGACCTTGGACTATTATTGTAGTTTCATTACTTTTATTTTTTTTTTCAGTCCTGGGAATTAAGTAATGTATCAGTTGCATCAGTTTGCCCAGCCCTGTACCACTGAGTCACACTCCCAGCCCTTTTCTTGGATTTCAAGTCATTGTGTTTTTATCACCTCCACGGGAAAACTCTAGCACCACTGGCATGGGGTTGGACAAGAGGTTTGGAGGTGGACCTTCACTTCTGTGGTCCCCTTGGGGGTGGGGGCCCTGTCTGACTCATGAAGGGCTGTGTCCCTTCCTGAGGCTGAGATGCACACAGGACCTCAGTGAGAGGCAAAGAGGGTGTCAGCTAGGCCCACCATGGTTCCTTGCTTGGGAAGCCCTGCTCACCAACAGGGTGAGCACCAAGGCATGGACGAGGTAATGGACAGTCAACTCCACTACAGAAAAGAGCAAGGATGAAGCGAAATATAACTGCATAGATGCAGCTCAGCGTTCTTCCCCTATGCCTGTCCAGAGGGCTGGTGCTGAACTCGATAGCACAGAGCAACCTTGGACCGAAGCGGGTTCCTGGCAGCTCTTTGCTCCATAGCTGTTGATGCTGTTTTTGTTACCAAGCTCTCCTGTTCTGCCCATGGACTTGCTTTTGCCCTGGAAAAGCCTTGCTCCATGAAGTTCCCCCAGGTCTCTGTTGTTCCTCTGTGGAGCAAGCAGGTCTCAAGACTTATGTGTAAAACTTGAAGCTAATGTCCTAGACTGGCTTTGAGCTGGCCTAGGACACAGCTGAGTTGTCATGCAAAGGTTATACAGTGGTTTTCCCAGGGAGAAGTCTTTTCCTCCCAGTCTGAGAATTGAACCCAATAGTTTCATACTGTGTCCCAGCACTTTAGTTTTAAAATTTTGAGTCAAGGTCTCACTGTGTTGTCGGGGCTAGGATTGAACTTGTGATTCTGCTGCCTCAGCTTCCCAGAGTGCTGGGATTATAGGCATGCACCACCACAATTTGCTTCTTAGAGCTATTTGAGCTGCTGTACAGTGCCTCCGATCAATGAAGGAATCTTGCGCATGTTTTGTCTATGGGCATTGGGAAGTTCCTTTGAGGGTGAGAGGTAGTGTGGAACTTCAGCACCCCACCCCTCACAACAGGGGGCTGCCTGGAAGTTCTGTGTCTGCTGTGTGGGCAGCATATATGGTGGGGTACTGGAGACCACAGTGCCTGTCCAGAGCCCCCACCTGCCAAGGGCTTGGCTGTGCTTGGCTGCCATGGACTGACTTCTGATGCATCACTGAGAGCCAGCACCTGGTTTTCTCCCTCCAGCCCCTCCCTAAGCAGAGCTAGGAAGCAGAGCCGAGTCACTGTCTACCTAGGCTCACAGGCTGCAGAGTCCAGGGGTGACACCTGCTGGCACCCTCTGACCTCCTGCATGGGCAAATGCAGCAGGGCGCTGTGTTCAAGAATTGGCCTCAGCTCAAAACTTGGCAACCCATGTTGGTCTTCAAGAAGTAAAAATGAAACACATCTGAGACAGAAGCAGGAGTGGTGGCAGGCTAGAATTGGACTGTGTCCAGGCTGGGGAGTGACGGCTATGGGGTGAAGAGTGATGTGATGTTCGAATTGTATCTCAACAAAGGCAATAAAGGACAGGAGATGGGGAAGAGCTGGGGCAGAGGGGGCTGGGAGGAGCCCCTCATCTCCCTGGTCTCCATTCTGAGTGCTCTTGGGTGCAGGGAAGTTGAATGAATAGTATCATCATCCACCTGGACCCAACATTTGCTAATATTTTCCTATACTCAGAACATTTTATTTTTGTTGAGCCATGTGGAGCTAAGTTTGAAGACATCTTGATACTTCCTACTGAACATTTCAGCCTGTGTCTCCTGGGAATATATTCTTCATTATGACCACAAAACCATTACTGTGCTTTAGGAAATTCACAGTGACTGCCTGATATTAGCTCTGGGTTTATCAGACTACTTTTTTCTTTGTGTCATTTGCCTTGTTATTCTATCCCCATAAACAGCACAGCCATGAAGTGGACAGAAGGCCTGGGGTCACAGTAAGGTGATGCCTCAAGTCTGGTCAAAACTCACATCCCCCCTGCTTCTTTGCCAGAGGTGAACCATGTGCCTCTACCATGGTGACTGAGTTTGATCACTCAATGTGACCCTGGTCACCCCTGAGAATGAGTAAGAGACTCGTGAGGCACATGAGGAATGAGGGACCCCGTGGGGGTAGCCCCAATATCATCTGATACTGTGTACCTATGAACCACATTCCCCACGGCTTTTGGCATCCATGACTCAGATGCTACTGTTCCCTTCACAGTGTGGGGTTTCCCTTCTCTGCTCCTGTGCCTTTTGCCTTGGTTTCCCGCCCCAGAATCTCCTTCTCCTTGGCCCATTCTGTTGATGGCAGCGAGGACACCGTCATTTCGGACTAAACAGATGGCTAACTCATGGGTCATTTTATTGCTTCCCAGGACAAAGTATGGTGGAAATTTCTGAAAGCCTGAAATGGAAAACTGTGTCACTTTTCAGTACCACTGGTTTAGGGGAACACGGTGTTTGTGAATGTGTGCATGCTGGGCATGGCTGAGTGCACACCCCACTGCTGGCCTGCAGCCCCGGCCAGAAGCACTGCATCCAAAGTGTTGGTCTGGTTCCTTGGTGCTAGCTGGCGGGTTTGTTTCTGCTTACACCCAAGTGGTCCGGCCCAGGCTCTGAGTAGTCTAAGGGTGGCCTTTACCATCTCTTACTGCAGTGGGTCCACCAAGGCCAACTCCTTATCACCCTTGCTGCCTGGGCACCAGGGTGGCACACTTGGGATCTCCAAGTTCCTCCAATGGAGGGGGTATCCAAGGAGAGACACATTGCTTGGGAGTTTCCAAAGCAGAGGAGGCAATAGCTTGGGTTTTTTGGGAAGGCGCCTAACTATTCTTGCTGTACAGGTTTACACCTTTACCCTTAGATAAAGAAGAGTGGGAGATTAGCATTTCCTCTGGCCACTATGGATTCACAGCCACAGACTTCTAGTGCATTAAGAGCAGAACAGAGGTAGGGAGTGGGCATGGCCATGTTCCCCATGTCTGGGAATTTCCACAGGGCAGGGGCTGGCTATAGGTTGCACAGTGAGTTTTTGCAGAGCTCACCAGAGTTTTCTTCAGGTTGCTGTTCTCTGACCCTGGGAGTGTAGCTCTTGAGTGATCTCCTGGAGAAAAGGTATCATGGCCAACATCTCAATAAAGTAATCGGTGAGGTTGGGGCAATGATGGCAGTGGAGGGAGAGAAAATTACACCTGGACCTAATCACAGGATTGTCATCTAGATTGTGGTTGTCAAATTTTAACTGGAGCCAAGGTTGCTGTGGGGGAGAGAAACCACATCATAAATCTCAGTGACTTTTTGACAGTTTCAATTTCAATGGGAGGCATCAAGGAAAGTG